AGAGGGGAGGGAGGAAGGCGAGAGAAAGAGAGCTGCTTCGATCCCGGACTTCCAGAGCCTGCCAGCAGCGCGCACTCAGCGGCTCTCCGGTCCCAGCGTCCCAGCCGCCGCCGAGCCCGCGCCCGGCGCCCCGCACCAACTCCTCCTCTCGGGCGCCCCTCGCTCCCCCGCCTCCATCGCCTGCTAAGCTCGGGAGCGCGGCCCCGGCCCCAACTCTAGCCCCAGCCTTTCTTCCTTCCTTCCCTCGCGCCCGCCGGCCCGCCCTCCAGGTCTCTCTCCCGCGTCCCGATTGTCTCCGTTCCCTTCTCCGTCCGCCCTTGCCCTTGCCCTGCCTGGTCGCTCCCTCGCACTTCCTGAGTCGCCCGCCGCCGCAGTCTCGCCGCGCCGCGGGAGCCCGCGAAGCCGCTGCCCCAGCTCCAGCCTCCGCAGCCCGCGGCGCCCCACCCGAGGGAGCCCCGGTGCCCCGGGAAGGGAAGAGTGGGCGAGCGCGCCCTCGCCCAGCCCCGCGCCCCAGCCCCGCCCGGGGAGAAAGGACCGGGAAGATGAACAACGGCAGCAAAGCCGAGAAGGAGAACACCCCGAACGAGGCCAACCTTCAGGAGGAAGAGGTACCGAGTGGCTTGGTGCGGTGGTGGGTGCGACCCGGGACGCGAGCCGCCGGCTTTCTCCAAAGTGCGGGAGAAGCTGGCGGGGCGCGGGCGCTGGTCCTGGGGCGACGGGCTGGGTGCCCGGGGAGGTTTGGGAAATCGTCTTTCCCCCTGGACACAGCCCCACAATTTGGCCCCGGAAGGGTGTATCTTTGGAGTGTTTTTGTGTGTCCACGCGCGTCTGCATGCCTAAAATTGCGTAACTTTGAGAACTTTGAGGAGACTTTTGTAAGTATAATGATCAGCTTTGTTTGCTCGGGATTTTAAAAGAGGAATTGAGAGGTGACTCCTGGGTGACCTCAGATTATTAGGACCCGCAGGGTCAGGATTTAGTTCTGCGTTTGGGATTGGAAGTTGTGGTGTGTGGGTGTTGTAAGAAACTCAGGGACAAGTTCTTGTTAAAAGATACCTTGTGTCCCCTGCCCTCTCCCTTTCAATATTAAAAGTTCTTGGTGAAAATCTTTCAAGCGAAGGCATTTTGGTTTAATAGATAACTCATCAGCCGCATTCTTTGATGAGTCAAAGACCCCGAACCTGGGCGATTAGCTTTTGTAAATTTAGGGGCGATGGAGATGTAGGGAGCAGAATAAAAGGGTTAAAAACTTAACAGTTCACCAAATGACCATCGAGGGTATTTTAATAGCACTTTGATTTCGGAACATAAATTTTATGTGATGTGTCCATAGTAACGACAAAACTTTGCGGCTGCGAAGCGTTCCTTTGGTGGAAACACAAAATTCATTTAGTGTAGGGAGAGACTCAAAACTTTTCAGAATTTTGTATGTAGGATATTTGTGGTATCCTGTTAAATAACTCCATTCCTGCAGGTACAGCATCTAGAATGCAAGGAACAGTATTTTTCTTTTACTTTTTAAGATCTCAGTTGGCTGCGTTCTTAAACATTCATTCTAAAAGTAACTTTTAGAGTTTGTGCAAATGCCAGAAGGTATATATCTAGATCTGACCTGTATACCATTCTTATATGTATTGCGTCCTAGTATATAAGGTGAATACAGTGGTAAGCCACTTCAAAGCAGTTCCAAAGCTGAGATTAT